AAGTAAAATGTATGCCATTTGTTTCCCATGCCTTTAACATGTTTAAGGAGATGTTATATTTTGCCATTTGATGAAGGACTTTCCGTTTTGAATTTTCCTTGGAGTTGGGTATTTTTGTTATTTTACTTTTGATATCTATTAAATAATTAAATTATCAATAAGAAAGTAGGGTACTAACCAAGCCCACAAGTGTGGGAAATTGCTATGATTGCTTTTGAAAGTTTTTTTTTATATAAAAAATATTCTTCTTGATTAATCGGTAACCAAGAGTCTGCTTCTTGCCCCGCTATTGTCGCCATTTCTTTTGTCGTCCCGAACATGCATGCAATATTTGCGACTGGACGTTAAGCAAATATCAATCATCAATTAAACTTACATCAATCACAGACATTTTTTTGTCAACATGTATTTTTTTTTAACAACCATACATTTGTAGCAGGAACAATTCTGCTGGGGATTCAGAGATGCGGATCACAGCTAATACTAGCGTATTGACTGATTGACGATGAATGCCAAATGTAATAACGCTTAAATAATCTAAAGTCAATGAAACAAAACCACAGTATATACAAATATATAATTTAATTCTTCAATACCATTTTCATAATATCAAAATCCAATTTAATCGAAATTGAACATTACATGGTATTATAGGTATGTGGCAGATGCACTAACCTTCATGTTGGAAAACTCGGCCTTCCTCAAGAAATATGACAAAGTTAGCTGAATAATATTTATATAAATGTCAAAGTTTCTAACTGTTAGTCATCAACATCTTTACACCTTAAAAAATCAAGAAAAAAATATTTCTGAAAATTAATAAATGTCTTCATAATCAAATTATAAATACCATTCAATTTAACCCAATTGTAACGATTAAACATTAAATGACATATTTATCAACCAATACGAAATTTGGAGTTAAAAGGGGAACTGATACCTATACTTCCACATTCCTCTCCCTAAGACAATCGATAAAATGTATATCAAAATAATTTAACCTTTACAGGCTTATCAAAATAAAATATTACGCAACAGATAAGCCGCATAAAATGTAAATGTTTAGCGTAATAAATATTTGGTTACAACAATTAACATACAAAATGAAAATAAGTCAATGTGTAGAACAAAATTAGGATAAGTGTTTGAAAAAAAAACCAATTGCCATTGAAACCCTGGTCTTTTTTATCAAATGTTCTTTGTTAATTGATTCTTTTTACCTATAACCTGCCTCAATATTAGGCCTATTTATTGTTGCTATTGGTATTATCATGACATATGTACGGTGGCAGTAGTCATGTTCTTGTTGGCATAAACTAACCATGTTACAATTATAATTGTCCATCTTGAAATGTTTTGTTAATTGCGAGTCTTTACCAAAAACAATATACAATGTTACCTGAAGTTACCATTGTGACATAGATTTGTTCAATTCCCAAGGGCCAAGGACAAGTTAAAAAACGAAGTAGAAAAGTACATGTGAGTAGTCAATAAAGATATGTTTTTGAACGTCAGTATTATATTTATATCTTATAGATTTGAATGAATGAACGATGATTCATACATTTAAAAGGTATTACATTTTGTGAACCCCTCTATTCATCTTCCACATAGCTTAATATCGTGGATAATAAGTTTTATTTTTTAAATAATTTCAAATTTACAATTAATCTATTCAGTAAAATGTGTTCTTGCATATATTAGTCATGATAATTTATTTCATCACTAGAGGATTTGATGTTTAAAATTGGTATTGTCACATTTGGCATGCTATTGATCCTAATTTGAAGTTGTTCGTCTGTGTCATTATAAAGAGCCAAAAAATGTCGACAGAAAGATTTATATTTCGCTTAGATAAATAAGATGCAAAAAGGCAAACCTACGTATTTTTTAAGATTCTTTTTCGTTTTGTCTTTGTATCACAATAATCTGGCCAAAAGTGACTGTGCATTTGTGTTTAGGTCCCTGTACTGACTCATCATGACTGTGTATTGATGTTTAGGTCCATGCACTGACCCATCGTGACTGTGTATTGGTGTTAAGATCCCTTTACTGACCCATCGTGACTGTATATTGATGTTAAGGTCCCTGTACTGACTCATCGTGACTGTTTATTGATGTCAAGGTCCATGTTCTGACTCACCGTGACTATGTAATGATGTTTAGGTCCCTGTACTTACCTGGCGTAATTATATATTAATGTTTAGGTCCCTGTTCTGACTCATCGTGACTGTGTTATGATGTTTCAGTCCCTGTTCTAATCCATAGTGACTGTGTAATGATGTTTAGGTCCCTGTACTGACTCATCGTGACTGTGTAATTATGGTTATGTCCCTGTACTGACCCAGTGTGACTGTATTGATGTTAAGGTCCCTGTTCTGACTCATCGTGAATGTGCTATGATGTTTACGTCCCTGTACTGAGTCATCGTGACTGTGTAATTATGGTTATGTTCCCGTACATACTCAGCGTGATTATGTAATGATGCTTCGGTCCCTGTTTTGACTCATCGTGACTGTGCTATGATGTTTATGTCACTGCACTGAGTCATCGTGACTGTGTAATTATGGTTATGTCCCTGTTCTGACCTAGCGTGACTGTATTGATGTTTATGTTCCTGTTCTGAACCATCGTGACTGTGTATTGATGTTTTTGGTGTAACACCACTAATTAGGGCCCGGACAGAAAGCACATACCAGAAAGTAGTACATATTTACACAAAATAGTTCCTACGCAAATAAATTTGGAAAGTGTATGAAAAAAATTTGCAAGTTATACACTGTCCACACTAGGGACTAAATCTAAGTACGATAACTGTGTCCTCGGACCTTATTATCTAAATGTATAACAAAGCAATTTACAACAACAACACAACGAGCCGACCGACATGAACCAACGACAACCACTGAACTACAGGCACCCTGCAAACATGTCACGAACACATCTTTTTCTTCCAACAAATTTTCTTCGTGTTTACACTTATTATATAATTACATCTATGCCAAACACACAGAACAATATGATTATACTCATGTCGTACCTTAATTTTCTTATCAATAATCGTAAACTTCATTTATGTAATTTAGAATAATAAATCACTGCTATATTCGACGGGAAATTGAATTTTTGTTTTATTGCTTCTTTGATCTCCAGAATACCTTCAGACGAGGTATAAGGCTTTGGTCCGAGATAATTAATGAGAAGAAATTGCAGTAGTTTGACAAATTTGGAGGAACGACCGGGGAGGGGGTATGTTTTATTTCCTAAACAAATATTCTGATCTTCAATTTGATGAAAAAAAAAAATATTCTGGTCATATGACAAAAACCAAAAATAGTCTGAATCGAGCTTTTTCCCAAATCTTATATAGTGTTAAATATTGAAAAAATAATTTGATTGAAAGCGTCGAAAAATAAATGAAAATGTTTTTACTGAGAAAAAAACATAACCCCACCCCCTTTTGAAGTTAAATGGTTGCTCCCTAAAACAAACATTATACAATTATTAATAAGTCTATCGATCTCTGATGATATACTTGTCATTCTATTTTCAATACACTTTATTTATACCTTAAGGCTAAAATACATGTACTTTGGCATGTATGTTTATACACTAAACTGTTAATTGTTTATTCGGGTTTTTGATGAGGAGGTGTGATATTATATAAGATGACTAAAAAATTCTCAATTTTCAATGTTTTTCGTTCTTCAATTATTACATTTATATCTAAAATATTTGAACGTTTTCGACACTATGATGTCATATCTGAATGATTTGTAATTCTGACTTTGATCAACTTCTATCCAAAGGGCGCTATGGGGAATTCTGTTATTTTTTTAAATGTGAGTGTTGTTTTTTTTTAAACTAATATTCGTTTCTAATGTTACGCCTTATTTATGCGATATTGCAATTAATGAAGATGATGCACATCTATTTTTATTTTCGACGTAAGGAAAAGGGGGTCCTGCATCCAGAGCGCCGGCGTGTTCTTTAAACTCATTCCTGATCCTTTAAAGATTTCCTTCCAATTTTGATTTTGAGTTACATCTTTGAAAATTTAACCCTTTTTAATTCACGAAAAAACTCCAAGGAGCCTGATCTTTACTTTTATAAAAAGTAAAATCACAAAAATACTGAACTCCGAGGAAAATTCAAAAAAGGAAAGTCCCCAATAAAATGGCAAAATCATAAAAAACAAACACATCAAACGAATGGATAACAACTGTCATATTCCTTACTTGGTACAGGCATTTTCTTATGTAGAAAATGGTGGATTGAACCTGGTTTTATAGCTAGCTAAACCTCTCACTAGTATGACAGTCGCATCAAATTCCATTATATTGACAACGATGCGTGAACAAAACAAACAGACACAATAGGTAAAAATGTCAAAAATAGGGGTACAGCAGTCAACATTGTGTTATCATCTTAAACACTATAAAAACAAACAAATGTAACGAAGAAGCACAAAAAGGCATACATCAAATTTAAAATCCTCATTTTGCTTATATTATACGATTTTATTTATCTATGTAAAATCCACCCATAAAGGATGGAAGGTTTTAAGTACTGACGTAAAATCGCGCGTTTGAAATTCGCACAGGTAGACATAAAATAATTTTGTCGTTCAAAGTATGAGGGGATACATAAATACAGAGTCACGTAAAATGGATATAACAAAAAACAGACTGAACAGTAAAAGTAATATTAATAAATAAAATAGAATAATTGTGTGGTACAAAGTATGACGATATACATAAGTACAGAGTCACGTCAAATGTATATCACAAAAAACAGACTCAACAGTAGGACCAAGGACACAGTTATCGTCCTTTGGTTTTCGTTGTCTACGAATATAGTCCCTAGTGGTTAAAATGAAGTAATTATTTGCATTGCCGACAATGTTAACATTTTCACCTCTCACTCACTTACCCTAGCTTTAAGGAGGAATTTGTCTTTTGAATCACAGAGTATCATACATTTGGGTGTTGTTCAGTACCAAAAAACCAAATGTGCCGCAGCTTTTTTTACTTTAAATTTTGGTTCTTAACAACTACCGTCTGGCTTGCACCTAATTTTTGTGTCAAAAATTGGGACGTTCACCTCTACAACAGATAGGTTAAGAAAATTATTACTGATTCAATAAAATTATTTAAATGCATACATAATGTTGCATAAATACATACCTTTCTTCCACCAAAGTCATTTCTTTAAATATCATACATATTCATAAAAAAAAATTTATATTTACTTCTTGGCTTTATGTTGGATGTAAAAACCAGGTGGCGCACAGAACTGTATTTACTTCCTTGTAACCTATACCGATTCCAATTCTGTTCGAATAATATAAGTTGTGTGTTTTTTAAGTACGGATATATGAATGTAACAAAATAAAATCAATCTTAATTTAGTGTTTGTCATATTTCCTGAGAAATTACATGAAAAGGGGAGTAACCCCAATTCGACGGAATATGCAAAATTTACTGAGATTTTTCCACTCATCAACTTTAAGAACCATTCTGACAACTTCACTCTGACTTTCAATCCATATTTCAATATATCATTAGATACATACATGTCAGTGCTTATATAAAATACATATAAAAAAATAATTGCATAAAGCAATCTGCAAAAATTTTAAAAAGTAATGCTTAATACTGAAAATAGCATTGTTTCATCTATTTTTGACAGTTTTCATGTCACAAAAGGTGTACTAAAGTTAAAAAAGACAACTTCATTAAAAATAAAATGTGTACTAAGATAACCTGCATTCCATGACAGTGTTTGTTTACATCAGTCCTGACATTACATTACACATACTGTACTTAAAGGTGATGCTGGTGTTGGATGAAAGATAAAGGCTAATAATAGATTGGGTGCCTATATCTCTGAGTCAGACTCCCAGAGATGACAATATTTATATTTAGACATTTTTTTGTGTTAAAAAATAAAATCACTGTTTCAATTTATTTAGAAAGTCAAGTTTAATTATTCTGCAAGTGTATATTTTTTTGCTATGCCTGTGACAAAATTCAGAAAAGGAAATAAATATTCCTTCAATATAGGACACAATCCATATAATAAAGACCAGAAAAGATCTGAGGAAACATTGACTGGAAAAGTTTTAAGAAATAGAACCACTACTCACTATAAAAATGCAAACTCAAAGAAATCTGTAGCTGGCGGCCTGAAAACTGTTGGCAAAGATGATAGGTCTTCCTCGGACTATTCTCTCCGCAAAAGGGAACCAAACCAAAATCAGGAAAAATCTGTCCAGACTCCTATTAAAACAACAAAGTATGAATAAATTATTATTTAAAATGTCTCTTGAAATTATAAATTAACAAGTTATGAATAAATGTCAATAAAATATCCTTTCTTTATATAAGTTAAGAGATATAAAGTTCTGACTGTCTATTTAAACATTAAATTCTGTTTGAATACAAGAATTCAATTGAAATAAAACATATATCAGGTGACAAATACATTAAAAATATAAAATCATCATTAGATTTACACAAAAGTAGGCAGAATTCATTTTTCAAGATAGTAAAAGTAATAAAAGAGCACAATTTTAAATATGATATAAGGGAGGTAATTCACATTTATATGGAAAATATTCTCACAATGCATTTTGGCAATGCTGTTAAGTACAACGGCGACCTAATCTCACTTTCAGGGACACAAGAGATAAAAGAACAAGTGCCACCTGGGAAAGAGAAAGCAGATCAAACCGGTATGTCCATATTAACCAAAATGCAGTAATGTGGAATACAGCTTTCAAGGAACATGCCAGTATATCCCCAGTGTGTAATGAATTTCTCCACTGGGACATGAAAAAAGAAGAAATAAGAGGATTAGGCTGTAGAGAACAGATGAAATGTACACATTGCACATATCATTCTAAATTTTTTTCATTGTACGAAGAAATTGCTACCAACAAACCTGGCAGGAGACCAGCCAAAGTTAACGTTGGACTTGCTGTTGGACTGAGTAAAACACCAATGGCTGCAGCAGGTTACATCCGACTCTGCTTAAGTACCAATCTGCCACCACCATCAGCTCGAGGTATCCAGGATGCGTGTAATAAAATACTCCCTGAAATAGAAGAAATAAATACGAACGATATGAAAATGAGGCGAGAAAGACTTAAAGATATACAACAACAGAATGGGAAGTCAAGTCCAAACGTCATTAATGCGCAATCCGATGGAATGTACAACAACAATTTGTATTCCGGAGTGGGAAAAACACCTTTTCAACCTGCCACTCAAGTTATATACAGCTTGGCAGAAAATGTCACCAAGCAGCATGACATTATTGGATTAGTTGTGCACAATAAACTTTGCTCAAAAGGTAAACATCTCAGACCATCAGATGTGCACCAATGTTTGGGTAAGGACTGTTCTGCCACAATCCCATTTGAAAAAAGTATCGGCGATGAAAAAACATGGGCCAAAGAGTTACTACAAGAGCTGAAGGAGTCGAATGACATGGAAATCGAGTATCTTACAACTGATCCAGACAGTGGTGCATATCAGGCAGCAACTGATTTACATGAAGCAGGCATAACAAAAACTAAACCGACGCACCAGCTTGATACCCGGCACATTTCAAAGAACCACCGTCTTTTCATAAAGAAAAATAACAGGTTATCTGAGATCTTGAAAGGGAATACTGCTTAATTAAGGACTCAAATTCAAAACAAACTTGCAATCGATCTATCTGAAAGGTGTCACGGTGAAATATGTAAAGCGTTTGAAAAATATGGGAATGATATAGACCTGATAAGAAATAAATTAACATTTGCGGCCGATGCAATTGTTGATTGCTATCAGGACTGGCACCTTAAATGTGCAACACACTCTTTACTATGCAAAGGTTTAAGAAATAACAACTGGTTAGGAAAGAGAGCTTTACTGGGGAAAAAATTTGGAATAAAGCATACAAAGAAATCATCAGAGATTCTGCGTGAATGTGTGAACTACAGAATGTGCCCAGCAATGATGGAAAAAACTAAACTAAATTCCAACACGCAGAAAGTTGAAGCCTTCAATCGTGCTTTACGAACATCTATACCTAAAAATGTCACATTTTCAAGGAACACCTCTGGACGGGCGCATTCTGCAGCACACACTGTCAATGTAGGGATGGCAAACTCAATATTTACCCTATGTGACAAACTTGGCTGTTCCATAACTGCAAACAGTAAAGTTCACCAATCTGTTAAACAAGTTAAAAAAACAACAAATATGTTAAAAAATTATAAAAAACAATTGATGCCTGTGTTTCACGTTCAGAAAGGCGGGCAATATTATTCGATTTATACGAAAGACACCAAGAGGGAATAGCGTACCAAAACAATATGCTTTTGCCGCCCCCAAAAGAGAAGGCCAAATATGAGGACCACCCCTATAGCAAGTCAGCAAAAAACAAGAAATCCAAATAAAACCATAATAACCTTTATAAAGTGCAAAAGGGTTGATGTGATTTACAACAAATTCCCTGATTCTGACAGTGTATGCGTTCTTGATTAACATCATGTTTTTCAAATACGACATGATGTACATTTATACAACATTTATTTCCGCATAAATGACTGCATTCCAACTCCTCAGGACCTTTGAATTTTGGAATTTCATTTCTTGTTTTCTGAAAATGAACCATGTATGCAAATCTATGGATTCTCTCTCTACTTTTTTCACCAGATGGCCATTTAACCTTAGTATAACCATAGCCAGATGCATAAGTTGCACCAGTCCATACTATACACCCCTTTTCATTGTGTGAATTATCAGATTTATACAACAATTTCAATTTCTGCTTTTGCCAAAATTCGTCCATAATGTTTCTCTTTCAGATTCATCAACAAAAAGGTTAATATAAAAAAGGATTTTTAGAAAAAAGGAACTTAACTTAAAAATTTGGAAATCCACCTTTAGGTTAAAATGAAGTAATTATTTGCATTGCCGACAATGTTAACATTTTCACCTCTCACTCACTTACCCTAGCTTTAAGGAGGAATTTGTCTTTTGAATCACAGAGTATCATACCTTTGGGTGTTGTTCAGTACCAAAAAACCATATGGTGCCGCAGCTTTTTTTACTTTAAATTTTGGTTCTTAACAACTACCGTCTGGCTTGCACCTAATTTTTGTGTCAAAAATTGGGACGTTCACCTCTACAACAGATAGGTTAAGAAAATTATTACTGATTCAATAAAATTATTTAAATGATACATAATGTTGCATAAATACATACCTTTCTTCCACCAAAGTCATTTCTTTAAATATCATACATATTCATAAAAAAAAATTTATATTTACTTCTTGGCTTAATGTTGGATGTAAAAACCAGGTGGCGCACAGAACTGTATTTACTTCCCTGTAACCTAGTGTGAACAGTGTATAACTTGCATTTTTTTTTTGATACACTTTCCATATTTATTTCTTGATATTTTATGCATGAAATATTGAGTAAGGGGATGAAATTACATGTTAAAAAAATTTGGGTGCGGAATCTTTATGTTAAGTAGTGATTTGGTCCAGTTAAAAAAGGTCAAAAATTAGAATGTCTGAAGCTGTCAAACTGAATTTTAGCCCCCCTTAACACAGAATTGTCAATATTTTGAGTTAGAGCTGGTAGAAGTTTCTATAATTTTGATATTATTTGTATCAATAGTAGTACACTACACTATACAAATCTTTTTGAGATAGAGCAGGTGCGATTTTTTTAATTTGAATTTATTGTCTAAAAGAAATGCACTACGACATAACTGTGTTCTCGGGCCTAAGAGATGAATTCCGTAAATGTAGATTCTGTACTTTGGCAACTTTCCTGAATGGTTTGCTGGTTTTAATTTGTCAAACTCAATAAAAGTAAAGGATTTACATCTTTGTTTGACAGAAATTCTGTTAAAATGTCCCATTTTGGCATTATACGGCTAAAATAAGCATTTTAAAGCAGTTTCCATTTTATGCCTAAGAGCCATGCTGAATTTCTATCTGACAGCTTTTTATGTTCCTGATATTTGTGTGTCTATGCTTAAATCAAATTTAATTAACCATTTGTGAACTCTGAATCTAGAGAAAAGTAGATTATCACAGAAAAAATGTGCAGTATATTTGTATTTATGTCCCTGGTTAAACGGCCTGTTTGATGTATGTGAAATGTGAAGAGCTTTGTACATAAAATCTGTAGTCCATCACAAATATTTCGTAAAAAAAAACCACTTTACAATGACCAGTACACCCTATTCATTTCATATGCTACCATAATTTTCTTCTTTAGGATAGTAAGTGGTTCAAATATATGCCAATTGAGACTAAACTACATGAACGTTTTCCATTGAAAAGTGAAAAACTGGTCATCAGACCATACTGTCTTCAAAAAAAAAGTTAAATTCAAGAGTCCTTTTGCAATTAGACTTCTTGTATCATAACATCTTAGCATAGAAATGAGCAAAAAGTAACAAATTTCCATTTCTTATGGCCTCTGTGTGCATTTTTATATGTAAATATGGGCTACGGCCTAAATCGACTCTAAATAATTCTCAGTCTTAAATGGCCTAAGACCATTTTATACTCATGTTGTATGCTTTTTGTAACTTTTCTTTACATTTAAAGTACATTTAATATATATGGAAAAATAATGTATGGTTAAAAAACTTCAAAAACTTCAAATTGGTTGAAAAAAATGCATGTTTATGTAAGGCTTCCCCTAATTCGAAAATCTCTGTTTTCAGGCACAGGCTCATATAAATTTGACTTTTGAATAACTGTGATAAATCTGATAAATCAAATGAGTGTTCCGTTGCTTTTAATACTTATTATACTATATTCAAGAGTATTTAAAAAGCAAATTTTTGCAATATTTAAATTTTTTAGGCCAAAATCTTGACAGTTGAAAATATTTGATTTAAACGTCAAAAATAAACATCCAAATTTCAATATTAAAATGACCCTAGTTTCTATAATATATATCCTATGGCCATAAAACTTGGCCAACTATATTATAATTGCCTAAGCTTAAGTCATGCAAAGTTTTATTAAAATTGGTCAAGTTTTTCTATCCTATTAGGTTCAAGGACACAGTTATCGTCCTTTGGTTTTCGTTGTCTACGAATATAGTCCCTAGTGTGAACAGTGTATAACTTGAATTTTTTTTTTTATACACTTTCCATATTTATTTCTTGATATTTTATGCATGAAATATTGAGTAAGGGGATGAAATTACATGTTAAAAAAATTTGGGTGCTGAATCTTTATGTTAAGTAGTGATTTGGTCCAGTTAAAAAAGGTCAAAAATTAGAATGTCTGAAGCTGTCAAACTGAATTTTAGCCCCCCTTAACACAGAATTGTCAATATTTTGAGTTAGAGCTGGTAGAAGTTTCTATAATTTTGATATTATTTGTATCAATAGTAGTACACTACACTATACAAATCTTTTTGAGATAGAGCAGGTGCGATTTTTTTAATTTGAATTTATTGTCTAAAAGAAATGCACTACGAAATAACTGTGTTCTCGGGCCTAAGAGATAAATTCCGTAAATGTAGATTTCTTTACTTTGGCAACTTTCCTGAATGGTTTGCTGGTTTTAATTTGTCAAACTCAATAAAAGTAAAGGATTTACATCTTTGTTTGACAGAAATTCTGTTAAAATGTCTCATTTTGGCATTATACGGCTAAAATAAGCATTTTAAAGCAGTTTCCATTTTATGCCTAAGAGCCATGCTGAATTTCTATCTGACAGCTTTTTATGTTCCTGATATTTGTGTGTCTATGCTTAAATCTAATTTAATTAACCATTTGTGAACTCTGAATCTAGAGAAAAGTAGATTATCACAGAAAAAATGTGCAGTATATTTGTATTTATGTCCCTGGTTAAACGGCCTGTTTGATGTATGTGAAATGTGAAGAGCTTTGTACATAAAATCTGTAGTCCATCACAAATATTTCACTAAATCTGTAAAAAAAAAACACTTTACAATGACCAGTACACCCTATTCATTTCATATGCTACCATAATTTTCTTCTTTAGGATAGTAAGTGGTTCAAATATATGCCAATTGAGACTAAACTACATGAACGTTTTCC